ATAGATGCGAAGGATTGTTTGGATTCTCCAAATTGATGAAAATGTTTTGGAATTTTTCATAACTTAGTGCAAGGAATTGTTTCAATTACATAGACAAAAAAAAGATGAATCCATTTCTTAACCTTGATTCTCTGATATTGAATTTGACTGATAATGATAATAATTTATTGGAAGACTTTCCAACAATTGGCAGTGTTACCAACACTGAAGAAAGTAATAGTTCAAGTCCACTAACAGAAGAATTATCTGAAACCAATAGTGACAATCAAACATCTAATGAAGTTGACTTTCATCCCATCTCTTGTATTCGTTGTAGGCGTATGCACAAATATTGTTGTAAGTATTCCACATAATATGTCAGAATTATGAGAATGTAACAAAACATGCAAATAGCCAAGAACAAACCTGCATGTGAAAGATGTACCTCGAGAGGTGTTGAATGCATCTATAGAGAACCTAAGAAAATCTTGAAAAGTAAGGAACATTCACCAACATCAACAAGCAAGAGAAAGAGGGATGCATCATCTGACCATCAAGTGGATGATAATCATCCCTCACCCAAGCATGTGGTGGTCAATTTGGAAGAAGCACATGTCAATACAACAACCATTGAACATTATGCACCATGGTACTTTTCCATGCCTCTTCCTCTCAACTTTTTTGTTACGAGTGTGACTAGGAGGGAAAACATGCATTTAAATAGAGATTTATTTGAACAGTACTTTGGAAAATATCAAGCATGCGAATCACCAGAAAGTTACATGCTGGAAAGGAATGCCTTTTATTGGAGTGTGCAAGCTCTGTTATATCAATCATGTGGAAAGTTGAATTTGGCTGAGGAATGTGGTATGAAATCGAGAAATTTAATTTCAAAAAGTTTCAATCCAAGTTGTATTATAGTTTCGTATACATATCTAAATTTAGGACTCTTCGAAACGGGAAGAGGAAATGTAGAAATTTCAAATTTTGATTTGCACTGTTGCAAATTTGGAATGCAAGCCAACATTTCAAATGGAGAGTTGAAGAATGAGAATTTGGCAAGGACTGTTTCATTTGTTGAGCAATTTTCTTTGGGTGAGATGGATGTGTTGCGCCTTGCAAGTCGACTACCTTTCATCTTTGAGTTTATTTGTGGAAATGCATTAGCATCTCAATTGGTGAATTTATTGCAACAAAATATTACAAAAGAAAATTGTCATGATATTGTCAGTACAGGATCAGACATTGTAAAATTGTGTATTTCTAACATTCGAGCCAGAATAACCAAAGATTCCAACAATGATGAAAACTCTTCACAAAATGGATTTGAATTCACTCAAACATTATTAATTGAAGGATTGAAAATGGGAGTTTTTATTTCTTCCCTTAGTAGAACTGACCTCATAGAAGAATGTAGCTTGAAAATAACCTATCTGTGTGAAAGTGATGCTTTCAATCATTGTAGCTTGTTCATGATTCCATTCATTGTAATGGCCACACGTGTTAACTTGCAAGTGGTGAAATCCATCTCCAATGGTTCAAGAATTAATGCTCCCATAGGAGTGGGCGAGCTTGGAAATCTGCAACCAATAGATTATTATGGAATTCTGCGAAGAAATCAAAGAGCTCTCCACTCTTTAAACTCTCGATTTTCAATCGTTTCGATTGTTCATGGAAAATTGATGGCATCAATAGGTGAAATACTTGCAAACAAATAAAGTATCCAAAATGTGCCTCATTGAAAATCACGAATTATATTCCACTTGTATATCTCCGTCAAGTTCAAATCAAAGTTTCCCACTTCTCCAAAAATTGCCATTACACTAGTTTTCACTTCACCAACATATAAAAATCAATAAAACATTTCAACAGAAGTTGGTATCATTTATTAATGACAGTTTCTTGTGAAAGGAGTTTCTTCCACACGTGTTTTAATAAATCTTAAGCATTGTTGCATTGTTCGACCATGCCTGGAATTAAACAAGCATCAATTAACCAACCAATACCACACAAAGCACCAGTGAGGAGGTAAACAATACCCATAATTGGTGAATTCAAGTAGAATCTAATCATGAAACTAAACTAAACCATGCACACAACAATCGAAACTTACCTATGGATACCAAGGAATCCAAACAAGAACCACAAAATGTAAGCAATAGCAATATCCTTTTGTTCAGCCATTTTTTTCAAGTGTTAAATCTTTAGTTTGGTTTCGTTATTATAACTGTCATGGAATTTATACCTTGTTACACGCACTGAGGGTAAATGTTAAAAGAGCGTTAATCATCACACCCTAAAAGGAGTGTTTTAATGGCAATGAAGAAACTAAACTAAACCAAGATAATTGACATAACTCTGTAATATGGTGGCCATGGTTTTCTGAAAAGTTGCGATGATGGCTATTCTGTAAATACTCCAATGTCACTTTCCTTTTGACTGAGGTTTGTTGACTTTTGACTTGTATGAAATGTCACTTTCTTTCTAAGGGTTGTTTGTTGTTACAAACCAAAGTGCATCAATAGTTTACAATTGTTGTTTCTGTAGTGCGTTGTCGGTAAAGCGAGTCCGATTTTGAATGGCTTCCTTAACGAAAATCAATAAAATATACTATTCAAAACAGAAGAACAAAGTTAAAGATAAAAAAATTAATCATTATCAATGGCCACATCAGAGAAGAGTTTAATCCTAGCCTATCTGCTTTGGTTTCTATTCGGATTTTTTGGCTTTCATAGGTAAGTCCTTATTATCGACCTTTCTTCCACTTTCCTCCAGATTCTACTTGGATTCTCCAATCATGGGAATACTCTTCTTCTTCACAGGCGCTTTCTGTGGCGTAAGTACCTTCCAACCAACCCATAAATCCTCTAACTCTCCTATCAGTTTGGTTGGCTAATTGACTTTTGTCTCATTCCTCATCTCATCCACCAATCCAATTCGAAACACACAATTTCCACAACAACAACAATTTTAAATTCAAATCCAACAAATTTTAATAATCAAAATCCAAATGTTGTAAATAATCAAATTGACAACAGCAATCAAAATAATTTTGTTCAACCACCTTCGTTTAATATAAAGGCAGTTCAGCCAATGATGATGTCGATGGAACAGCAACCTGCGTATGTGCAGGCAGGTGTTGTGGGGTATGATTTACAGCAACTACCACCTCCTGCTTATTCATTTCAACAATAAGTTTAATAAAAATCTATTCGAAAAAAGTTTAGTTTCGAATTGGATTCTTTTCCTTTTTACTAAATTTGATTCAAACATACCAATTTTGGAGTCGTACTGGAACCTGTAATTAGATGTTGTGATAATTGGAAAGTTTTGAAATTGCGTTTCCAATAAAAAAAATGCAACCTAGACTATTCTTCATCTTTGTTTGTCTCATTCTCATTTTCGAATATTCAACTTGCAATGATATTAGAATCATCAAACCAATCAATCTTCAAAGTCAACTACAAGATATCTCTGAACCATTCTCCATCATTTCTATTCGAAAGTATTACAGTTTAATCATTAATAATATAGCTCCAATCATGGGCAAAAGTGCAGAATTTCTTGACGATTCAACAACTCTTGCTTCATTCTCCAACCTTTCCTGCGTTTTAAATATTCCATCCAATGGTGAATTAGCTCCATATGACAAGTCAATTGTCAACTCGATAGAAACGACAAGCTCTGTATGTTCATCTTTCATTTTGGTTGAAAGAGGAAACATGCAAATCGATGCAGCACATCATGCCTACCTAGTTTTGGGCGAAGAACCAACTTTAATGATTTCTCCGAATGATTTAATTCCACTTTGGTCAATTGTGTTGAAAAATGCAATGTTTTATGAGAATACTCGATTTGGAATTTGGAATAGGACAATTGACCAGGTGTTTACATTATCACCGATATATTTTACACCTTATTCTGTTGAATATGTATTGGATAATCAATTAGAAAGTGAAAGAAATGAAATTGTGAAAGAATTGGAAGAGGAAATTTTGGTTGACTTGGAACTTTTTGAAATAGTTCATCGAATTCAATTAGCGGAAGGGAGAGTAATGGGATTTAGTTCGATTAGAGTGGACGAAACATTTTTTTGTAATTCAACATTACATAATTCAACTTTTGTGGAAGAATATCACAATGCCTTATATAGAATTGATTTCTATTTATATATAATACTTAATCTAGGTTTAGTCAATTCAAGTGGTACAATTTCTGGTATTCAGGATATTGATTTGGTATTTAGTGATGGGAAATTTCGTAAATTTAATCCAAATTTCATATTAGAATCTATTCGAAACGTATTACAACGAGGAGGTTTCAACAATTATCTATCCTATTCTCATCCTAACTCTTCTTTCGACATGCACTACTTTTCAAACTTACAAAAATCAAATATACGATCAGTTTCTGAACTCATGATTCATTCCTACTGTTTCAGTTATTACAATCACTATGCCTCTCAATACTATTTCAGAGATAGCTCTCTATTTTACCTAATCTTCAATGATGTGATTTACTTTCTACTAGCATTCACTGGAATTGCCCTCCTCCTTCTCAACATCACAAGTTATTCATTGGATTTCAATCTTTTCCTAAAGAAGAGAATTTTACTTCCCCTCATGGGACCTCCTACCTTAATATTGATAAGTTTGTGTTATACAGTTGCGATCAGATCAAAGTTATCGGTTGCAACTTATTGGATTCTCATGATTATTATTGTGTTTCCAGTTCCAGTTTTGATAGGTTCATATATGGTAACACTTTTTAGGTTTTCCTATTTAAAGAATATGGATTTGTGGCAGAAAGTTGTTTTCAAACATCCCAAAATTCAAAGACATTTGGCATCTGTCAAATCCTCAGTGGTTATTTCATTAATTTTGACATTGGCAGGTTTCGTCATTTGTGCAGCTCCTGTCATTGGTGCTTCTCTCGCTGTTTTATATAGCAGTTTGAGTGTTCCACAGGAGATGTTCATTATCATGTTTGCTGCTGAGATTTTGTACATGTTAATTCTTGCAGTAATTTTCTTTACTGTTGATTTGAAGAATAATGGCGCCAAAATTATTAGACGAAAGGGAATAGGATACTTTTTCTTCTTTGATGATCCGTTTTATTATAGAATTGACTTGTTAATTATGATGGTTATGATGTTGTTGATTATTCCAATAATTGTTGGTTCTTTGAATGATACACTTTCGTATTTTATTGTTCGAAAGGTATTCTCATTGATTTTCTTCATGATGTTTTATTCGATAATTGGTGGAACTGTTACAATATTTTATTGGATTGGCAAAGTGAAACGATTATTATTTAGGAATAAGGAAGAAGAACCATTAGTTACACAATTAGAAAGTTTGTTGGAAGACGAAACTTTCAGAGAAATATTCAAATCTTATTCAAAGAATGAATTTTCAATGGAGAATATTCTTCTATATGAGGAATTGGAAAGATTGAGAAAACAAAGGAAATGTACACTGCAAGATTTGAAAAATTTATTCGAAACCTTTCTTTCAGCAACAGCAGTTCACGAAGTCAATTTTCCATCAGGAATTAAAAAGAGTTATCAAGAAATTATGGACTCTTACAAGGACGACATTTCAGATAATAGTGAAGGCAGTAATCTTTCAAAATTTGTTTCGAATTTAGCAAACCTAAACCTTCAGGATCAATTAAAACACCAAACCAAAAAGGAAAATTCAAGAATTGAGCAAGTTTTCGAACTACTTAGACCTGATCTACTGAAAAACATGTTAGACACCTTTTCTCGATTAGAAACCACTCCAGAATTTATCAATTGGAAGAAAATGAAAGAAATTCAAGTTTGTGAACTTGGAGAAGAAAAATCAAAGGAAGAAAATGTTTAAATTTTAAATAAATAGAAAAGATGAATAGTTGTCAAGTTAAATAATGAAAGAATGGAATGTTTATTAAAAGAATTTTGATTTACTTCCTTCTATCCATTTATGTATTTGTTGTGGTTGACCGACATTTGGAAGATCCTCCAATTCCTTCGCATTCTTATTTGAAAACGGACACAAGTCTTTTGGTGTTGTGTTAGATAGACATTTCGTATGATGTTTTAATTCCTTCTTTAGATTCGGAAGGAAATGAGTAAAATTCGGGCAACGGTTGATTAGTTTAAAAGAAGGACGAATGTGGACGAAATTAAGATAACAAACATTAAAAAAATAGCACAAGAGATATCAAACAGAATGAATAACAATAATAATAACAACAATAACGAACAAATGAGCAATGAAGAGATAATTGCTCACGTGTGGAGATTTTATGCAGAATTTCTCAGTGAAGACAGGTAAGTTGTTGGTTGACCATTTCTTCTAATATTATTGACAGTAAATCGAAAGATAGAAGGTTTATTTTGAGTTGGTTTGCAAATTGACATGTTTCCATGAGCAATATTTGCAGAAATAGGTCTTATTCGAAACTAAATTTTATTCGAAATATTGAAAATATATCAGAAAGTCAATCTATCCATTTGGAACATAACAAACAGAATATCCAATCTTATTCCACTTTCCATCCACACTCCAATTACAATTAGAATATTCACAACTGAAAATATCACCTCTCAATGAAACTCTAATTTTTTCTGAACCAGATCCAATTTTTCCATCATTGGATTGACCTGAACTTCCACACACAATCAAACCATCTCCAATAAATGCATTTCCATTCATTGTAAAAGTTACAGCCAAATTGGTAAATGTGTACAAATATGGTTCTGCAAAATTTGTGGCGCCAATTATAATTCCTTTTGTGGATTTGAAAGAATTTGGTTGGATAAACATGGACAGGGCTGATTCTTTGAGAGGGAAAGTACGGAGGCCAATGGATTGGAATGATTGGTCATTGTTGGACGAATATCCAGTGTAAAACATTGGATGGTCAACCGTGGTGTTGACTTGCAAGACGAAACGTTGTGCTGTTGTGAATGAGACGAAACTGCACAAGAAAATCAAGATTGAAAGTGAGAGGATACTTTTGTGTTGTTGTTGCATTTTTTTTTTGCAAGACGAAAGGTGTGAGGCAAACTGTCCAAATAAATCCTATTCGAAAATATCCGAAACACCTTGAATCATTGGCGAGTTTAGAATTATTGTAAATTGTTATTTGTTTATTATAATACATTAAATCATGGCTACTGCAAAATATTTCCAGTTTCTTAAGCCATTTGACTTGTTTCTTGACTTTCTTCTGATTGACTAACTTCACTTGGTGAGGTCACTACGATATTAGAACCAGATTGATGAAGTATGGAAGGTTCCTTTCCAACTTGTGATTTTCTACGTCCAAGAAGTGGAGATGGTGAAGAAGGATCTCCTTTCAATTCAAGATTTTGAGGAGTGGCAACTGACATGTTACTGGAAGAGGCATTCTTACCCTCTTGAGTCCAGTATGGAGCATAGCAAAACAAGACAAAGGAAGAGAATAAGGTTACTCCCAAACCATGTAAAAAGTAGTCAATAATATGCAAGTCATCATTCAAAAGTGATGTGAAAACTGAAACAATAATTGACAGGATGGCACAAAGTTGGAAAATTAAAATACCAATAATGAGACCAACTATCTTGGTATATGGACGGTTCATGAAGGATCTGAGAGTGTTGGTATGTTGAACTTGAGAAGCACCAAGAGAATTCTTTCTAACAACGTAAATTAAACGAATGCCACTTGCCAAAAAGATAATAATTTCAGTAATGTTGATGGCAATGTAAACAATGAAGAGTGAAATGTAGATTGGAGTGACATCAAACTTGATTTCTTGAATTTTGATTAATAAATTGATCAAACCATTGAGAATAGCCAAAATGATTTGAACAGTGACAGCAATAACTGTCACTACCATGACAAACCAAAAGATAATAGTGTAAGCTTTCTTACTCATAGCACCTGCTCTCTCTACAGTTCTCAAACTATATTTCATCTATCAATATCACTCACAAAATATATTCGAAACTTACAAAATAATTTGAATAAATGACATGATAGCAATAGAAAATGGAATCATCTGCAAGAATGAAATCACATTCTCCATAAACGAAGTAGCCCACATCAACTTTAAATCCTCAATCACAGTGTCCTTTTCAATATTTGGAGTTACCAAATTAATATGTAGCCCAGTACAATTATAAATTAATCTCAAAACTAAAGCAACTAATTGAGTGAAAACAAAGGAGAAGAGCAAAACAAAGAGGATTTTCTGGTTTCTCATGATGGTATCCTTCGATTTTAAATAGTACATGACTACGGTTGAGCAAATGATAATGTAAATTGGGATGAAAAAGCAAGTGTTGGCAATTGATGTGGCGTTTTGAATATATTGTGGAAATTTGGATCCTGATGTGATGGAACTGACTGTCATGTTAGTGAAATCAATTGCTCTTGGCTGGTAAGCCAAGTATTCACTCAACAATTGGTTTCCACCACTTTCTAATAATTTCGTCAAAGTATAGTCTATCAGTGAATTCATTTCTAATAGTTGACCACAACTAGTTGTCTGTTTGTTTTTTTCAATTATGATCCAAGTCTAATTAGCGAATATCAAACTAATTGTGACTCTTTCCTTCCTTATAAGTACAGTTGACTCTTTCCAATTTGAAATTAAACAAGTTTGGCTGTAAAGGATATTGCGATTCGATATTATGTGAGTATTTAAAACGGCGTCAAGCTTCTTCTGGGTGTAATCATTGGTTGACTTCATACTCAATAGTTTAAGCTTTCTTGATTGGAAAATTAAATTATTTTGAGTGCTGACACTTCGGCACTTCATCGATAATAATGGATAGTATGTGCAGTTCAATCTTCATGGTTGAGGTGCACATTTTGAAGAGTTTCATGGTTGGTTTCTACTAATTGATTCAATAGTTTCTTATTTTGTAAAGTATTATAATTATTGTAAAAATGTTAAATGGATTATTGCACAACAGGTTCAGCCTGTTTTACATTAGATAGGGAATGGAAACTTGGTTATTCTTTGTAAAACTATGAAATTTTCAAAAAGTATTGAGTTTCGAATAGAGTTAAATATTGTTTCCACACAACTTTACAATCATTTATCCTCTACAAATATCTTCAAGGTGCAAAATTTTCATAACCAAAGCCCCTTCACCTCGTCGTTCCAGTGAACGAAAAATTTCTGTATGCGAAACTGTGTAAATTTCTTCTCACGACGGATTAGGATAATTAACATTGTCGATGGTAACACCATCACACAACTGGAATCACTTTTTAAAGAATTTGCTAATAAATTGATTCACTGTTTCGCATCAGGTTATTCCCACTTCAATAATGTTTTTTTATGCGATATGTACTGTTGTATTTACAGTTTCGAATAGTTTGTGAGGTCAATGAATAGTATTACAGACTTTAAATTTGACGCTTTGCGGAAAAACCATTCGAAACTTGTGAAAAGAAAAGGTTACATTTGGCCATGGTGATGAGTTGAATTTTTTTTCTTGTTGGTAATCAAGTTTTTTGTGAGGAGACAAACAAAAAATCAATTTGGCCTTTAGGCTTATTTATTCGATTTTTTTAGACGAAACTGCCATTTATAAATCAATGAGATGAATTTCACACTTCCAATTTACTGAATTTTTGCTTTTAACAAGGTCAGTCTTTACAATTATATTAACTATTTACATTCCAATACATTATCCTATAATACAAAGAGTATTTAATATTAAATATATTCAATACAATATTTAATTTTATATTTTTCAAAGATTTTATGTGAATTTAATTTTAAAAAAAAATCTCAAAATGGTTTCCGTAAAAGTCATCATGCAAAACATTAGCCAAGCAAGCATTTTGGTCGTAAGTTTTTCACGTTTCAGTTTTCGGAATTTTTGATGCATTTTCGGAATTGAAGAATAATGTTGATGAATGGAAAACAACAACCAATGGAAGAGGTAAGTTGGAATTAATGATGATGAAAATTAATTATTGATGATGATGATTATTTTGTTGTTGTTCATTGTTTGATGTATATACGGAATTAATTGAATATTTAAATATTTTAAATATTTAATTGTTTAATTGATGTAATAATTATTAATTTAACTATTTGATGATGATGACGATGATGATGGGATATTAATATTTATGAAAATAATATATTTAGGTGTTATTTTGTATGTTTGTTTCTTGA